CCTTATGCTCAAAGTTAGAACCAAAACCACAGAGCACCCTAAAAAAGGCTTTTCATGTTAGGGTTAGTTGTTTCCAAATATGGAGGTTTCTAACTCCACAGTATTATAAAAGGCTTAGGGGAGTTTGTGTTTATTCATGGATGCCACATGTTGGAGCCTACCTTTAATGAGTATCTCTTGGGATGTCGAGGGGGTTGTATAGCAGATTAATCCCCCAAGACCTTACTGACTACAACCCCCGGTAATTTAAAACACTAATTACTTGGTATTGTATATTACTATGTTATTCCATAAATGCCCAAGAAATTTACGCTAAGCTACTACCCACAGGGAAACCTCAAACTGCATGATCCAATAGCCCTTTATGTTTCACAACAAATTTTGGAATGTATACACTTAAAAAAATCTGGTTAGAGATCGCTTTTCCAGATTTTCAGAATATACCATAACTCTTATTAGATACACAAAATATAAAAAAAGCCTGGCTAAAAGTTTTAAGAGTCTTTGAAGAGGGAGAAAAAATGAACCTTTTTTCCCAATATTCTTATAAGTGACTCAATGATTATAAATTTGTTTTATAAAGAAATATAAAAATGATCAGGTTGATTAGTACAAGATTTTGCCTGAAAATAAAGGGCTACACTTCACATAAAATAACAAATTACCTAGAAGACATAAAGAATAAAAAAACAAGATTTTTTTTTTAAGAGAAATTCTGTTATCTGAATTAACTACGTCTTTTTGCAAATAGTTTTATTTTGCAAAGCCTGGGGTGAAAAGAAAAGGCTCCAAGGAAAAAAATGTACAGATCATGTTAGTCGAAGTGACAAAACCTAAACATCTGTGCTACAATAATGGAAGGGAAAATGAATGGGATTAGATATTTCAGTAAGACCTAAAATAGAAGTTTACTACTTAAAACAGTAAATGTAAATATTTCCTTTGTTTTAAAAACAGTATGTAATTATCCATATCATTTTCAGATATTTGATTACTCACTTCAGTGTTTGCAAAATTTGTTTTCTTTTATACCCCTACACTACATTTATACATGCATTTAAGAAACTATAGATTAAAAAGCATATTGCATTTTAGAGAAAAATCTGAATAATCACACAGACATGGACCAACATTTATTACAAACAGGAAAAGAGCAGATCTATAAGAAAAGAGTACAGATTTTTTTAAAAAAAGATTGCAAGCTGAAGTATAGAAAAGAAATCTATATAATTAAAATTTTTTTCCTGCATTTAAAAATCACATTGCTCAATATATACAAAACATAATACAGTAGTTTAAACTGTTATTTAGAGGAATTAAAACAGTATCGACAGTGGAGAAGTTTATTTCAATTTAGGTCACCCATGTTCCATCCTGAGTTCACTTCGATTTTCCAAGAAGAAAGGTATTTTTAAAAGTCATTTTTCCCAAGTAGAAAGGTTAGTTTGAAAAACTGAAATATGTACGTCACAACTCAGTATTTATAAGAAAAGGATTCACATTAAAAAGTTTTTAATAAAAGGCAATCAATTCTCTACATACTTTTATTAAAGAATTACAGCTTTCACAGACAGCAAGATACATTGTTGCTATTACCAGCAGCATTACCTTCTTCATTTCTCCTTCGGCTAACAATAAAAAAAAATCATCCTTTCATAAGAAAATTTCTTATGAATGTGGCCCAATTCAAAACAACTTACTTCTAAAACTAAGTTATTTGTAGCTTACAGTATGCTGTCACATTGATTACCTAGCTACATGAAGAGCTAGAGAAACCAAAAGGGGGAAAGGCAACTTAAAAAATGTAGCAAAACTATAAATTTTCTCAATTTGCTAATATTTAGTGACCCTTCTGACCACTCTAAAAAGGGGTTCTTGAAAGAGCACTTAGGCTCTAAAGGGGTATTTCACTTAACTCTATAGTGTTTAAAAACTCCCATTTCTTAAACTCTAAAATATACTGTACTGCAGATTTAAGACACCTGTATATGAACTAGAGATGTATTAAAATGTTTCCTTTACTAAAACCAAGCAGCAGCAAAACTATTTTCATGTCATAACAATTTAGACTCTATACTGCATCACTTTAAGAAGAGCCATACAATTGTTTGCTGTTATGATATGGCTAGTAGCATTTTGGAATTCAAGAAGAAAGCAAAGAATTTCAAGCAGTTGAGGCAAAATGTGATCTCCCATATAATATATACAACATTAAAGTAATTTGGCTTAATTTTGAAATTATGTATGTGTTACAAATATATAGACGTTGGTCCTAAGGGAATTTTACCTCCAATAAGCAACAAAAATAAAAGTGGGTAATGAATTAAGGATGACATTTTAAAGTTCAAATTTTACACAAGTAGCTTTTTAGCAAGTAGTATTGCTAAATGCTCAGAAATGAGAAAAGGTGATATACTGGCAAATATTAAAAATATCAGACTAGTGTCATTAACTTCTTTACTAAAAATTATTTATAATATGCTTCCATTTGCAATTGATGTTTCAAGTTTAAAAGTAACCCCCCTACTTCCCAAACCCCTAAAACACACCCGCTTCCTTTGCCACTTTGTTCGTAAGTAGGATTTACAAGAAATTTCTCTGGGGAAGCAAATTATCTCATTTTTAAAGATGTATGTATTTTCTATTAGAAAAGAACTAAATGTATTTGGACTCACACACACTGGTTTAACTGAACATAAACAATTTTCCCACCATGAAGTACTGAGTTACAACAAATGTATTAACAAAACTTTATTTTCTTGAGAGTGCATACAGGATGTTATGTAAACACTGTTAGTATTATCTTTAAAGACATTCTTATTATTACTTCAGATTTTAATGTATTATAAATATATGTCTTCTCCAGAAATATTAAAGGCCACATTGGGTGATACGGCCAAAGGAAACTTTAGCCCCTCACAGGCTAAACAAAGTACAATTGTGAAAATAAAGAGCAAATTAAGAAAGAGGAAAACATAGCTCAGGATATGCATTTTTAAAATTTGCATTCAATTTAACATCTTAATTCCTAAACCAGAAATATAAAATTTATAAAATACACATATATATTCTTTACCATTTTTCTCTCAAAAGGTGTTTTATACAAACATTCATATTTGTGTGTGTATGCGTGTGAAACTGCAAACATTACCAACTAAATCAATCAGGCAACTGCTAACAGCTCTGAAATATTCCATGAAATGAGCCTGTTATTTAGACAACTTTCAGCCCTCTGGAATAACATCTGGTCTCAGAATTTTTTTTAGAATGCAGTTTGTATTTTTAGCTAGGAAATGGGAGAAACAGACTCACTATGCTTATACTTACAGAATGCGGTATCTAACAGCCAATTTCAGTTTCACTTATGCTATAATAAAATGCATGAATAATACCTGAATATTTGAGAAACTGAAAGAAACTTCTAAAACTCAGAACGCACCACTTCATTATACAAAAACTATCATGTACCAATTATGTTAATTTCTAATGAGCCTGCATATAAGCTAATATGTAAAGTTAAACTGGAATGAAGACCAAGTACAGGTGATCCTGGCTTCAGCACACTTCAGACAGGTCTATTCACTCACCTGGTGAATTCCATGACAGTCTACTCTGATGATTAGATATACTGAAGGAAGGAAATGGTCCCAAAAGATAAGTGATAAAACCTTAAGGATATGCTCTTGGTCCAAAACCACAACCAGACTCCACATAAGGTACAATCTCTCTCACACATACAAACACACAAACACACATACCACATACACAACCACACAGAAAAAATTGAACACACACACAATGTTCCTGCTATTGTCCAGTAATTCCCCACCTCCCAAAGTAATACAATATAAACTACAGCACAAATACAGTGAGTACACTGTAGCCTCAATTTAAATCTGCTGTTGGTTGGGTCCATTTCTGAGGGACACATCACAGGTGACACTGTGTTGTGTTGAAGTCAGTACTGCTGATAACTAAAGCCCTTTGATAGGTCCAAAACAGACCCACATGTTATCAAATTTCAGCTACTGTGGAATATGTTATGACGAGGCTGCAGTGTACTTGATTATGTTGAGAATTTATATTACAAAATTAATACTCAAATAAGAATACTTAAGTCATAAAAAGAAATGGATATCATTTTCAGCTTAATGTGGATATCAACTATTCCCATCTTACCCCTTACATCTCATTAATATATCACCTGAAAAATGACTACTTGGTGCCAACTGTTATCGATACATTCACTCTTTATTATCATCTGGATTGCTAATTCCGGTCTTCAAAAATGAACATTTCCCTTCTAATCATAACCAAGAATGGGGCCTTTACTCTTTAAAATAAACATGCCTGACTTCAAATTTCAAGAGAGTTAGAAAGAAAAAAAACAAAAAGTATCATTGGGTAAATTATGATTACATAGGTTTGAGTTCATATTAGCTTATTCCTGTATAATGTAAACTTTATCCTATAGAAAAACGTTTTTTTAAATTATTGAAGTGCTTACATTTATTGACAAACCATGCATTTTCACAAAATTAAAATCGAAAATAATTTTTCACCTAAAGGTTTCATTTAACCAGAGACACTCAAAATACCCTATGAAACTAAGTTAACATTTCTGTATTTTCTTATACCGTTCATATTAGTTTGTAAATAGGAATAAAAAGAAAAATGAGTTCTAAATAAATGACACAGGAGGCAATAAATTGACACATGACAAGTAAATAAAAGGCTAAAGCACTCCAATACCATTGAAACTGTTTTAATGTTGTTGCAACTCCAAAATGCAACAATCATCAGCTTGTAAAGACCGAAATTTCAAAAATTCATTTTAATTACTCCTTCATACCTATTTTACAAAATAAAGGCAAGAGACATTTTAAATCCTCCTTGTCCTAGTTGTGCTATCTATGTTCCTAATTTGTTTTCTATCACTATAGTGTATGTTGCAATTCCCATCAAAAGCTATATAAGAAAAAATAAAATAAAATATTAACCTCTGCTTCAATGTACAGTTTCCAGAATCTGCCAGAACTGGGGAACTGGGCAACAAGGCGTTCATAAGTCTTCCGTGCTTTGTCTATAGGTTGATTCTAAAATTGAAAACCAATAAACAGCATTTACAATGTTAGGATTATAAATGTATTATTTACTGCAGAACCAAGTAGTGTGATTGGACCCATAGAGAAGGAAATGTAATCCTATATCACTAAACCTGTGCCTCTCGAATGAGAATGCTCCAAGCGTCAAGGTCATAGGGATTCTCTTCTAATTTCTTTTCGGCTTTCTTCACTTTCTCTGGGACATACTCAGCTGCCTAGGGAGAAAAAAAACAATGAACTGAAGTTACTGTTTTAAAAATCTCAGGCCTAATTTAATTCAAGCACAACATATCAGCCCCCAGATGCAGTATCACAGTACAAAGCATAAAAATGTCCTCTTATAAAAGAGGCCTGTGTTTCCTATAATCTATATATACTCTTATCATAAATCTCTTGCATAATAACAAAATCAAGTGAACACATACTTTTAAAAAACATTTTTAAAACTTAAATAAACCCATCTTTTACATGAAATAATATAGAGCAGCAGTTCTCAAACTTTGTAGTCTCAGGACCCCTTTTATACCCTTGAGTATACCAAAGAGCTTTTGTTCATGTGGGTTATTTCAGGATTTACCATATTAGAAATGAAAACTGAGAAAAATGTTAGATATTTATTCGTGTACAAATAACAATAAAATTATTTACATGTTAACATAACATTTTAATGAAAAATAACTTTAAAAATTCAGCGAGATTATGTTACATATATTTGCACATCTATATAACGTCAGACTTCAAAATACAGCTGGATTTTCTTATCTGCTTCTGCATTCAACCTTCTGCAATATCAACTCATGTAAAAATTCCACTGCAGACTCATGAGATTAACAGTGAAAAAGGCAAATAATGTCTTAAATCTATTATTAAACAGTATGAACTCACAGGTCCTCTGAAAGTCTTGGGAACCCACAGGGTCCCTGGACCAACTGAGAAACACTGAGAAACACTGCTATACAGAATTCATCCTGAGCCACAAAGAAAAAGCATGAAATGACATGGAAATTTTATTTTTGATATGAAAGTTTTAAAAGCATGACTCACAAAGTGTATATACAGCATAATGAAAACTATAAAAGAAATCCATAATAAAACAGATTGAAAAGATGGTACTAAAATATTTAGTAGTCATGTCTGGGTGATAGGTGGTAGAAGTACAGGTAACTCCCCCCCCCTTCTTTTAATATTTTCTAAACTCTTTAATAAGATAGTTTTATTTTTCTTATAGAAATATAATCTTAAAAAATTAATACCTAAAACAGTAGCTAGGACCTGAGGCATAAATACAAGTATTACTTCTCAAATTTTTGTTCAGAATACTACTGTGTGCCACAAAAAGAAAGTGATACTCAAAAAATTAAGATAAATGTTAATCTGTACTAAGTTTGGTTTTACCTTTTTTATAGGACTTCTTGAAATCCACAGTGTGGCAATAAATATCAGTAACATTCAAGAGGGGATAGAGAGGGAAGCATTGCCCCAATACCTTTCTTTTTCCTTTTTTTTTTTCCCTTAGTGGCAATTAATATTTTACCAAGCAATTCTGTCAAAATAGCAGCTGGGAAGAAAATTTTCAAGTCATGTGCCTAGGGAAAAAAAATCACCTGGAAGAAGTATACTTTTCTTTGGAATAAATCAGTTTCTACCACTGATAAGTATACATTTATTTAGAAAGAAAACCATGTTTTAAAAGACTAATATAATTTTGTATCAAAATTAGGATATTCAACTAATACACAAGAGCTTTGTAAGTAGCTTGCTTAAACTACTTTAGTTTAGAAACTAAAACTGGAAAAGTTTAATAAAGGAGGACCACTGGTCCCACCCACATATTAGAACATAAAATGACAAATAAAGAGTACTGCAATGGTGATAAGTCACCAGATCAGGATGGTTCAAAAAGAGGATATATGGAAAATCAGCAAATAATAAAGGTGGCATTTCAAATCGGAATGTTGGGTTATTCAATGCATGGTGCTAGAATAACTGTATCTATCAAAATAAAGTTGAATTCCTATTTTACCCTTTCTACCAAATTAATTTCAGATAGATCAAGATTTAAACATTAAAATCAAAAACACAAGAACCATTGGAAAATATACTGAAATGTATCTTTGCCCAGGAAGGCTCTTTAAAAGCCTCTGAAAAGAGTAAACTTAATTCATAAAGTTTATTTACATTTGTGCATGGGAAAAGTATCACAATGACAGTGAAAAGACGAACTTAAAAAATATCCCCAACACACGTGGCAAAGTATTAAATTTATTAAGTCCAGTCACTAAAAGTTCAGAAACTCAAAGAGAAAATGGGCAAAGTATTCGAACAGTTCATAGAAAAAGAACAATGAACTTTATAAACACTCGAAAGCAATACAAATGTAAGCCACAAGATAGAGATCAAGGGTGCTTCTGGGTTTTTTTAAAGATTTTTTTTGATGTGGACCATTTTCTTTTTAACATCTTTACTGGAATATAATTGCTTTACAATGTTGTGTTAGTTTCTGCTGTATAATCAGCTATATGTATACATATATCCCCATATCCCCTCCCTCTTGCGTCTCCCTCCCACCCTCCCTATCCCATCCCTCTAGGTGGTCACAAAGCGCTGCGCTGATCTCCCCGTGCGATGCAGCTGCTTCCCACTAGCTATTTTACATTTGGTAGTGTATATATGTCAATGCTATTCACTTCATATGTGGACCATTTTTAAAGTCTTTATTGAATTTGTTACAATATTGCTTCTGTTTTATGTTTTGGTTTTTGGGCCATGCATGTGGGACCTTAGCACCCCAACCAGGGATCGAACCTGCACCCCCTGCATTGGAAGGCTAAGTTTTAAGCACCCACAAAGGTGTTTTATAATTAACATTGCATTGGCAAGGATATATATCAATAGAAACAGACATTCTCGAATTGTTGGCAGGAACAAGCAGTAATATTGACCAAAATTTAACATGAATATCTGACCCTGAATTCCAGTTCTGACAACTTACCCTACTCTACACGTACACAAAGATGTACACAGGAGAGAAATCAGCTATGTGGCTGTTGTTGTGTAAGACTAGGAATAATTTAAATAATCATGTGTAAAAGAACTGGCTAAATAAATTTTGGAATCTGTAGTCACTAGAAGGAACAAAGCAATGCAGCTCTATAAACAGCAACATGGAACAATCTCCATAATAGCCGGTTAAAAAAACAGGAGTGGATGGGGAGACATACACACCACATACAAGCGTACTTCACACACTGTATACTCTTCTGCTGTTTGAATTTTTACTGTTCACCTGAGAAATATTTGTTCAGTGCCTAGTGTGTGCCAGACATTGCTGAATGGGCACTTGGGATACAACAAAATAAAGATTTCTTTCAAACGGTTTACTTCTTGACAAACTTTAAAAATACTTTAAAATAAACTAGGATTCGTAAGATATCAACTATAATATGTTAACGGTAAAATAAGAAGTAAATGTGATACAGGAACTTTAAATCAGGAATTAAAAACCAGCTAAATTAATCAATGCTAACAATTAGTGTTTCAAAGCAGTCTGGTGGGAGGCCAAATCACTCAAATCCACTTGCTGAAAATTAACCTACCAAAATTAGATAATGTATGCCATAATCTGCAAAAGAACAGAGAAACTCAGAAGATAGCATCTAATATCTGACCAGCATAACTGCAGCAAGTATAAATGTCTCCTTACAAAATAAAACAAGCCATTCACTTAGTGATTCTCAACCCTGGCAGCACATCAGAATCACCTGGGGTAAAGAGAATTTAAAAAGATGCTCAAAAAAAAACCTCTCCAGGAGGTTCTAATGTGCAGCCTCAGTTGAAAATTATGGCTCTCTAGGGATTCCAAACTTTTTTTGTGTGTGCTGCTGAAACTTCCTGTAATCTAGCGAAGCCTATGGCCTTTCTAGGGATAATGTTCTTAAATACACAAAATAAACTATGCAGGATTTCAAAGGAAACCAATTATACTGAAATGTAATTATCAAAATATTTTTAAACGAAGTTTATATTGTAATAAATACTTAACACAACAAAATCTAGTGGCGAGTCTAGTGATGAGTGCCAACAGTACTTTGAATATGTCTGTCCCAGTCACACAGCTATTGCTAATGCTACTAGTGTGGTTTCTTGCCTACATTCGTAAGAGAAGGAAAGGCTCAATTTCAGTTAGAGATTAGTGAAAAGTTTTATTTTGTCCATTCAAGTTCAGGGAACCCCTAAAATTCTATCCATAGACACCTGGGAGAAGAGGTTACCAGGGACCCAAGAACCCCATGGAAAGGATGTTGGATCACATATAAAAAAAACATCTATTGAGCATCTACTATGTTAGGCATTGTCACTCCTCGTTAAGCAACTGATAACCCCATTTCATAATAAAAAATATAACTAAATTTTACATGAATCTGCCCGAAGTCCAGTTAGAACCCGGCAGAACTATGGCTCAGCTCTTCACAGAATCTCTTATAACCCTAAATGTTTTCCTCTGGACAAGGATGTAGTTAAATGTTCATAAAACAATCTATTTAGATAATTCTCAATCAACTGAATTAATTAACAACAGAAGGTAACCAAAATGGCCAAGAGCATCCTCTGGTAGTTAAAGGCCACATTTAATTCTCACAATAAAAAGTCGTTCATCACCACAGCTATGAACCAATTGGGTAACCAAGAGCATAACATTTTTGTTTTGTGGCCTGGTTACCACACTGCTGTAAAGCAAATGAAAATTGAACAGTTTTCTAGTATCCACAAGGAGACTGAGCCTCCATAAGGAATGGACTTGTAATATTATTTCCTGAATCTGTTGCCAGATCAGAGAAATAGGTCACTTTAAGAAAACTTGTTGCAAGTTTCCAGTGCCCATTTGTAATGGAATGAGGTCAGAACTCTCCTTAGTTATAGCAAAAGAAGAGCCGTCTCATGCTTACATGTCCCAAAAACATTACTATAAAGAAACTCTATCAAAATCCAGCTTTTGTCTTTGGAATATCTGTAATCCCATTATCATTCTTCAGGGGGATGATAATGGGTAGTAGGATGGGCCCCAAATCAAATGAGCAAAACAAAAGTTGGACTAGTTCAGTTCCCAAGGCATGCACATTAATGATACTAGTAGGACAGTGGGAACTTCTTTGATTTGCACAATTTTAAAAACCAGAAAAATAACACAACTGTAAGGAGTATACACATACACACC